GGAGGACGTGTGAGAGGAGCGGGGAACGTGAGTGGAAGAGGGGGTGGGGGGTAACCGAAGAGCCAGCTGGTCGGGGTGCAACGATGAAAAAAAAACAAAAAACGGTTAACTGGAGGTCACGTAGGCCAGAGACATTGACCCCAAAAAAAAAAAATCATCTAAAAGTGGTTGAAGCAGTCTCTACAAACTTGTAAGATATCACAATGGAAATGCAGTCGCCATGAGGTCCGTAATAATAATAATAATAATAATAATAATAATACATTTTATTTATAAGCGCCTTTCAAAACACTCAAGGATAGCTTACAACCAAACAAGAGCAATAAAACTACTTGGACAATCGTTCTTGACATACTTTCAGAGATTATGTGAACATAAGTGTTGATGTCAATATACATTTTGGTGACTATTGATCGCAGTTTTCGGACATTAGGCAACATTGAGTGACCTCCATTCCGCGTTTCAACTGGCCTGGCGCGTCACACTACGGCAAGTGATGAAGGACATATTATATTAATGTCAGAAACTCAGGAGCTATTTGTACATGGTTTCGTAAAAGAAACCACGGGAGCCACATCCATCTGGACATCTAAAATGAAGATCGAATGTTCGTTTCAATATTTCCTTTTCATTTCTGCTGCAGATGCCCATTGAAGCGAGGGCCCGTTCAAAGCGATAAGTCAGCGCACCCGCCATGTTAGATGTGTCAATTGTATTCGCCAAATAATCGGCAGAAATAATTTTGTAAAATTTAGTTGGAATGATGAAACACAATCAAAAGCAATGCTTTGGTATGAATGAAATGAGCTATTGCTTGATGATATATCTCTAAGGATTAAGTGAAGGAGGCATCTTCATAAATACGTAGCTTCAATAGCCACATCCAATATGGCCGCGGTGTTCATATGTGTGTGTCGTGTACATGGTGTCTATGATAATACTTACCGGCCGATGTCGCATAGGGCATGCCATTCAAGACTAATGACTAGGAGTGCTATGCAAATATATACAAATATATGGAGCAAAGTTAGTGCTGTCTGTGGGGTATTAAAAAAATTTGGCCCTCCCATGCATTTCATCGTCGCCCACCCTAGAGGCTCGGTCGGCTCTGGCAACGGATGTGGGCTCAAGAATGTTCACTTTTTTTAAATCCAGCAGGCTGGAGGTTTCTATTCAGCACTCCTGCAGTCACAACACTTGAAGGGCCTTCGAATTTTACTCTCTGAAGTGTGACATCAAAAGAATCTTGTTGATTCCAACGGATGTCTATCGCCAAAGTCAGAAAATTTATGTTGAAGCAATTTTAACTCACCTTCTTGAAGAGTCCCTGTATATACGATGCGCGTTCAGGCAGAGACGGCATTAGTGGGAAGTCACGTGTTTCAAACTGGTCTTGTGATTGACGGTCTGTTCACCTAACAGGAAAACAAAAGCTTGTAAGAGGTTACAACATAACAGCATACACCCCTCCACCCCATCATAGTTTTTGAATTTGGTCATGTATTTCTTATTCCTGTCTCTATTTCCACATCTCCCAGTCTGGGCGATGCTAAACTGCGGCATGGCGCTCCTCGGATGTCATCCTAAAACCACTTGTGCTGCTAATTAGCTTGCCATCACCTCCTAATTGGTTGCCGTTGGCTTCCACCCGGTGTGGAAAAGTCAATCGGCTTTGCTCAAACGGCCGACTTCTTTTGAGGGGCCCATTAACCAAAGCCTCAGCAATGACCACAGACAGGATGTGTGAGCCGAAAGAAGCCAAACTCGAGCAGACTGTCAAGAAACAGAAAAATGCTTTATTACTCATCAGCCATTCGATATCCTTATGAGTAGTATAAAAGGGACGCCAAAACAAAATCAGAATGATTACTATATTCCGACAAAGCAATACCCTATTAGATTTATCAGGGATGGAAGGATGAAATAAGCTGTGAATTTTCTTTTCGGCAATCTAGCCGTCGTAAATTGTCAGTCAAACTTGGGCGGTCTGCAAGTGCCCACTTCACAGGGCAGACCTCCCAAGTCGAGACTCTACAATGCCAATAGTGCACCGCCTTTCAAAGCAATGAAAGGAAACACTTTTATTGGCCATGTTTGAAGTTAACTACGACCACTCTCAGAACGGCGCAGCCCTCCCTTTTGCAGATCTGCTTGCCTGCTCTTGTCTGTGCAATGACCAACATCATTTTTTGAAGCGCCTTGGCGCAGAGATAGGCCAGGCACCACGCAGGGTTTACGCCGGTCAGAAAAATGCAGCCCATAATGAAATTCCGACATTTTTACTCTGTGTCACGGCTAGAACACTGCAGATGTGGAAGGATGTTGAAGGAGCCGAATTGTCAAGTCAGATGAATCATTCCAAGTTTCTGTTCAGCACCCGAGCAATCACAAGCTTTAACTCTCTTTCTCCGAGCAGAACTCAATTGATTTGAAAATAATCGTGACGGTTTACGGTAACGTCAGATGGGGTCCATTTTTCTTTTTGGCACTGTAGCAATCG